GGAGGAAGGGAAAGAAGAGAATATGTACAAAGGCCTTGAAGTGGCAGTAAGCTTGGTGCAATTGAAGAATTTAAGAGGTGTAGCTAGAGACTAGAGAGCAAGGAGGGCAAAGTACCAGGCACAGCTGGTAATGCCAGACTGTGTGTTGCCTTGAAGGCCTTGCTAAGGATTTGTCCTCCAGAAGAACAATGGAAAGTCATTCAAGGGATTTAAACAGGAAAGCGGTAAGATCTCATTTGCACTTCAAAAAGATGGCAAAAGTGGTAATTTTACTGAGCTAGTGTAAGCAAGTTATTTCTTAGTACAATTAAACGTAATCAATTTTATGATGAACAGGACATCGGGTCCTTTAAGTGGCTCCTGACATTTTTAGTCTTCAGTATATTGGACATACTTTATGTGCATAAAAATATTCACTTCTGAATTTTTTTCCTATTATGTTCAGAAGTCTCTGTGAGCTAGGAACATTGTTTAGTATCTCCAGGCAATAAGCTTTGTGCCTAGCCCAAAGCAACAACTCAGATTCCCAGATTGTGTAGTTCAGTGCTTCTCCTGAGAAACAGAGGTTATAATTGGCTAATCATTTATTAGATTCCATTTTTTAAATGGGCCAATTCTGAATATGAATTCAAGTTTTTAAATGGTCAAGCCCTGCCCTGGCCAGTTTGGCTCAGAGGTTAGAGCGCTGGCCTCTGGTCCAGAGAGGCGCGGGTTCAGTTCCCGCTAAGGGCGCGTACCTCGGTTGCAGTTTGTCCCCGGCCCTGGGCAACCACTCAATTTGTCTCTTTCACATCGATGCTTCTCTCTTTCCCTCCCTCCTACTCTATCTGAATAAGGTGTGGAAAAATGTCCTTGGGTGAGGATTAAAAAATAATAATAAAAAACAATAAATGGCCCTGGCCGGTTTGGCTCAGCGGTTGGAGCATCCGCCTGCGGTCTGGAGAGACCCAGGTTCGGTTCCCACTAAGGGCATGTACCTCGGTTGCAGTTTGTCCCCGGCCCTGGTTGGTCGTGCAGGTGGCAGCCACTCGATGTGTCCCTTTCACATCGATGTTTCCCTCTCTCTCTCTTCCTTTCTCTCCCTCCCACTCTGTCTGTACAAAAAATGGAAAAATGTGCCCGGATGAGGATTAAAAAAAAAAAAAATGGTCAAGCCCTTAGTATTTGCTATAAGCTAAAACTATTAGTTAGGCTATAAAGTCAATACAAATATCATTAGAGTGTTAGAATAAAAACACTATATAGCCAAAGACTCGCAATAATATTGCTTTTCTCCTTTTTACTAGCTGCGGAAGATTCAGGAAGTGGTATTGATGACAAAAAGTCCAAAACATGTCTAATGTTGTAATATGATCCAACTGGTCTGAATTTTAAATATTGCTTCTACCTTTGAAGAAAAACAGAAAACATTCAAAAGAACTTCAGCAAATTTCACCCAGGAAACCATCAAGTAGCAGCAAGATGGGCTTCAGAAAAGCTACCCTTGTGAGCATCGAGAGAAAATACACTGCTAGCCTGCAAATCCTGAGGATAAAAAAAGTTCAACACAAGCGCAAAATAAGACAAGAATAAGTGCATTTTTGGGTGCCAATTTGTTTTAAATTAAAAATATATAACCCTAAAACTAGTCACTAGTTCTTTTTAAAAAATTCTTATTACTTGTATTCACTTGTCAGGGCTGCCATAACGAAGTACCACAGAAGTTTATTTTCTCCCCATTCTGGAGGCTAGTGGTCCAAGACCAAGATGCTGGCAGGGTTGGTTTCTTGTGAGGCCTCTCTCCTTGGTTTGCAGATGGCCAGCCTCTCCCTGTGTCTTTACATGGTCTTCCTCGTATGTGTCTGTGTCCTAATCTCTTATAAGGACAGTCATATTGGATTAGGGTCCACTCATATGACTTCGTATTACCTCAATTACCTCTTCACATACCCTATCTCTAAATATAGACACATTGAGTTACTAGGCATTTCTATTTCAACATGCCTTTGAGGGGGGACACAATTCAGCCCATAACATTAATAATCATGATTTATACTCAAATCCCTTCCTGAACCAAAAGTATCAACATGTCTTAATGTAAGAGTAAATACAGTATAGAATATATAATGTATGTATTAAATACTATATTAAAAAAGGATGTCAAATGGTATTCCATCTGAAATGCTTATTATCTTTCTTCTACATTTTATCCTTGATAATGAAATGGTAAAGACCACACCACTTCTGCCCAACCGGTGGGGTTCAGTGATTGAGCATCAACCCCATGCACCAAGAGGTCGCTGGCTAAATACCTGGTCAGGGCACATGCCCAGGTTGTAGGCCCAATCCCTAGTGGGGGGCATGCAGGAGGTGGCCAACTGATGTTCTCTCATCAGTGTTTCTCTCTCTCTCTCCCTCTTCCTTCCTCTCTCTAAAATCAATAAAGAAACAAAAACAAAAAACCACACCACTTCTAGCAGTACTATGTCTTGTCGTATGCCCACCCCTCTCCACAGGTCTGAATCACTTATTTTATGTGTGTCTAAGACTATTTTATGTTCAGAAGTGTTCTTCTCATTGGAAGAATGATCAATTTATAAGACATGACCTGGATGATCCTAATGCAAGTTAAACCAGCTAATAAATATGCATTATCCAGAAGAATGTGATCTGATTATGTGAAAACTTTACCATCGAAAGCCATTGAGGACTTGGGGAGAGATTACTTTTAAAAATGATTACTAGAACTATATATTGATTTTATATATTTTTCAAGAGATGCTAAGAACAATCAACTACTTCTACTATATGGTACACATCTGGACATCAAAAAAGTTTAAGAGTTCTTCCTTTATCTATAACCATAGACTGAATTAGAAAACAGACCAAATTAATAATTACTCCATAGATTTTTTTTTTAGCAAAAGATATCTAAATTATAATGGAATTGGTGATCTATGAACCTCTAATGTTTTGTTATACAGGAGATATTAATTTTAAGCAGGCAAGAAATGAGTCACCATTTGTTACATTTTTATGTTACTTAAAAAATCCTAAAATTGCTACTCTCCTATAAAAATGTAAGGGCCACGAGATGAAAGGTTTTGTCTATTTTATTTTATTATTATTTTAATCCTCACCCAAGGATATTTTTCCATTGATTTACAGATAGAATGGGAAGGGGGGAGAGAGAGAGAGAGAAACATCATGAGGATCAAACTACAACCGGAGGTACATGCCCTTGACCAGAATCAAACCTGACTCTGGTCCGAGGGCCACGCTCTAACCACTGAGCAAAACTGGTCAGGGCGGTTTTATCTATATTAGTCTGTTTTGTTCATAGTGCTATCAGGACACCTAGAGAGTACCTGGTGTTAAGATAGGTGTTCAATAAATATGAATATTTTGAATGAATTTCATCATACAGGTTTATAAATAAGAAGTGCCTATATGTTAATAAAATATTTTTTAGGAGGAAAAAACAATATATACAACCAAATGAGTGTTGTCTATTTAAGTCATCACCTTAAGTAATACTTGTACACCTTATCTCTATTGCTTAAAATAATTTTGAAACTCTTCCAGGATTATTTTAGAAATTGCATTTAAAAAAAAAAATCTCTTCCTTTATAGCTTAATGTAATTTTGGACCCAAGAATATCATTCAGTTCAAACAACTTCCCCTCCTCATGCACTAGAAAGTGAATTGGGGGGAAGAAATATGCCACCAATTAAAGGTCTGCAAAAGTAGGAACTCTGCTTAAGATCAAGTATAAGAAAGCCTAATATCCCAAACCAATGGACCACTGAACACCACTGATTGCACTACAGCCAAATATGAAATAGGTTTGTGGGAGAATCAATCTTTAAACTCATCATCTTGAGGCCTTTTCAAAGACCCCTTAAAAATATGACTCCCACTATCTGCCATTGTGTATGAATGGATTAGAGGCTTTAATTATATATAATGACCTGAATTTATAAATGAACTTAACATCTATTAACCATACAATACCAAATATATGGGTCACTGCACATTTAAATGTCATTGAAAATAGTATATCTGAATTCAACAAAATAAATGGAATGCTACAATCATTTGCTTCATCCTCAATCTTATTCATCAAATCATGTGTCTTCTCTATCCACCTCTCTGCTCTTTATATTTTTTAAATCAATTAATCCTTTAAAAAATTTGATGAGAACTATGGACCCTTTCCTAAAAAACACACACGTAGACACTGAAGCTTACAAAGAGTCTCGGAGTGCTTAGCTCTCCTGAAGCACATCCAATTTCTCTTGCAGGTACAGACCTCCAGTTAAGAAGTTATATTTTATAATATACCCGTGCATAAAAGTATATCCATATTTGCATGACTGTATCTGAGACAAGCTCTATGCACACTGTATTATTCAGTTAAATTATCTTTTGTATAAGCTCTGTTGGAAAGTCAACTTTTGTGAACACATTCTATTTTAGACTACTGGGAACTCATTTGGCTCCCTGTGGCATTAATTTGCCTTATAATAAATTATCCCCACACCAGAAATTCAAATTTGATTATAACTAACTCCTTTCAGTGATGGAGGTAAGAATAATGCAAAAGAAAGGTAACCAAAAAAAAAAAAAAAACCACCCAGAAATAGGTAGTAATGGGATGAACAGGTGCTCAAAAGAGGGATGCCAGTGTATCAAATCAAAGTGAAGAAGTTAAAGATATACTTAATCTACCTCATGTTTTTTGTGAGATTCCAACAATCCTAATAATTTTAACTAATGGAGGCAAGAAAAGACAAATATGAATAAGTAAAAAAGCAAACCTACAAAATCAAGGAATAGTGGAATCTCTGTACAATGTACTAGCTCCATCCTCTAGGAGCTACCAATGAAACAGAGTTGTAGATAAGCAACTCAAGAAACATACAAAGGATGAGAAAAAGTGTCTGCAACAGAACAAAATTCCAAAGCATCTGATGTCTTGAGAGTAGCTGAATTTTTATTTCCAAAGACAAAACACTGCAACTTGTAGACAAAGCATTTTGGAAGAGTTTCAAAGTGTATTTTTACATTAAGGAATGTAGGCTTCTCTTCCATCTCACAGAAATAAATCTTGAAAATACTCATCAAATTCTTCTTCCCTATTAAAAAAAAAGTATACATATTGATTAAAATAAACACATAGAGAAAAATATTACTAGGTGACACATGAGATTAATAAGAATATTTTAATTCAACATATTTGCTGATTTTTCTACATATCAATATATTTCATGATTCATCCATTCATTAAATAATTATTAGCTTCTAGAACAACCAAAACTACACCCAGATTGATTGAAATGAAAATGTTTTATGTTAGCACCTCTCCCTAAATGTATTTATCACCTAAGATTTTATTTTGAAGTACTTTGTAAAATGCCATTTCTTCTCTTTACTTTTTTGGTTCAATTTATAACTTCTCTGTTCATTCTCATATTACATTATAGTCTGATCAAGAAATGAATGAGCCCGGCTGATGTGGCTCAGTGGTTGAGCATCAACCCAGGCACCAGGAGGTCACCAGTTTGATTCCTGGTCAGGGCATATGCCCAGGTTGTGGGCCAAATCCCCAGTGGGGGGCATGCAGGAGGTGGCCAATCAATGTTCTCTCTCATCAATGTTTCTATCTCTCTCTCTGCCTGTCTCTTCCCCCCTTTCTCTAAAGTCAATAAAGAAAAAAATTAAAAATAAATAAATGAACGAAAAAGAAACTATTTTAAAGAAATATATAAGTATTACTCCTACAACAAGGAAAATATTCTTAGAATTAGAGTTTTTAGTAAGAGTAAAACAGTAAATGTACCAGTAAAATATGTCTAAAACAAAGAATAGAACTCTTAAAGGAGATATTAAATTAAATTTTAATGTGTTAAAATACTATAAAAACTATAAAGTACTAAATAAATATTAATGCTAGGAACCAGAGTGGTGCTGTGGAAATGGCACAGGTTTTCCAGTCAGACAGTATTTAAGTCCTAGCTCTGTCACTTACTAGCTTCGGGAGCAAGTTACTTAACTTCTCTGGGTTCAGTTTCCTTTTCTGTGGAATGGAGAACGTTACATTTCCTCATAGAGTTGCGATAAGGATTAAATGTATACAAAGTTGCTTTTCTTCCATCTGGGGATGGGGAATCAAACTGAATGGTCAAATTCAGTGTACCAGTCTCTTTAGAAAATGCTCTTTTAAATCAGAGATTCACAATGGGACTCTATCTTTTGGTTTTGAATATTGTGATTATATAAAGCCATCACAATCATGTCAAAATTGAAAAAATTACAGAATCAAATAAAGTTGATTTAAGAATTATCTGCAACTTGGTATTCGCCATACTATCCCTTTACCCTAGGTATGACAAAAACGTGCACAATTTTTAAAATAGTAAGAACTTAAGTAAGTAAAATTAGCTGAATCTCTGTGTTAACTCAGATGTTCAGTGCTTGATCAATGTTAAGTTTTTATAAAGTCACAAAGTGTTTTGGATTATAAAAGCCTTCTTAGGATTTACTCATGTATCTTTATTGACTAAAAAGGTGAGCTGACTCCCTATTCCATTATTTTCAGCTGTAAAGCCATTCAAGGAGACGCTTTACGGTTGAAAGTTTAGTCAATAATTTAAGTAAGATAGCAATATTTTATTTATAGCAATAACTTTTTTTTACATTTTCAGACAGAGTGGGAGGGAGGGAGAGAGAGAGAAATATCAATGTGAGAGAGACACACTGACTAGTTGCCACCCGCACGACCCCAACCAGGGCCGGGGACAAATCGCAACCGAGTTATGTGCCCTTGGCTGCAATCGAACCCAGGACTCTTTGGTCCACAGGCCAACGCTTTAACTGCTGAGCCAAACTCGCCAGGGCTATAGCAATAACTTTTCAATAATGTGATGTATAATGGCCACACCTGTGAGAATTCTTTGGTTAAAAAAATAAATAAAAACGTGAAAGGTCACAAAAAAAAGTAATCTTGTTTAAGGAAAAAAAACTCATTGAAACACACCTGAACTCTATTACATTGAGACCATACAATTAGCAAGATATTTTATAATCAGCTTAAATTATTAAATTATGGCTGATTCAATAGGTCTCTTTCCACTATGAAGCAAATATGCCTAGGGACTAACAAAATGACACTAAAATGCATTGAGTAATTACTATATTTGTAGGTACTGTACCAGCTTTACATTCTCTCTCTTTTTTTTTGCAAGTTTCAGCTAATGCTTATGTAACAAGCAGCTTCTTTTTTTTTATCCTCACCCGAAACATTTTTTGATATTTTGTTCAGATAGAGTGGGGGGGGGGGGGGAGAGAGAGAGAGAAACATCGACGTGTAAAGGACACATCGAGTGGTTGCCACCCACACGACCCAACCAGGGCGGGGGACAAACTACAAACAAGGTACGTGCCCTTAGCGGGAACCAAACCCGGGTCTCTCCAGACCACAGGTCGACGCTCTAACCACTGAGCCAAACTGGCCAGGGCTGTACATTCTTTATTTCATTAAACTTTAATACTAAATTCTATTCAACAGGTATTATTTTATCCTCTTTTAAAGATAAAGTTCAAGTGGTGAACATCCCAGTATATGACAAGAACTGATAACAATCCAGCCCATATCCAGACAGCTCTTCCAACCCATGGCAAAAAAAAAAAATGCATGCAATGAGCCATCCGTTTTGGGGGCAAAGGGGTGTTGGAAAATAAACCTTTACACCTGTACATGTCTTCGAGTAGCTCCCCTATACAGGTATATGATAATCAAAATATGAATAGACTGCTCTAGAAGCTAATAACAACCCTTTTCTGAAGGAATCTAAGCAAAAATTAGAAGGTCAGCCTTTAGAGCTAAGGAAAGATCTACTCACCAAGAGGAAGACGCTAAACAAGTTGATTCTTTATGGCCACAAACAATGGCTGGGAATAAACTCTGATCTTACCAGGCTAGTTGGTCCTTGGCATTTTTATTAACTGTTATCAAGAATGGCTGTGGTCAGAGCTTCCTAAAGTGATGTAAAGGGTATGCATTATCTATTCATATAAGAACTTACTGTGATTTTTCATCAGTCTCTGGGAGCGGGCCCTTCCAAAGTTCAGATTCTGAGGTACTTTGTTCCTCATCAGAGTGTCCTGTTCATTTAAAAGATTTTTTTAATGTATTATATTTAAAACACATTGTGAACCAGCCACCAATGCAATTAAGTTAACTTCATATTTAACTGCAGTTTAGTTTCCATTTTTATGGCTCTCTTCCAGACCAACTGGTCTCTTCCAGACCAATAAATTCTTTCTAAAAATAAATAAATAAGCTGAGATATACCAAAGAGTCTCGGCGAAAAGACCAAGGATTTAAAGTCTCATGGAAAACTTCTCTAAGTTACACTGAGTTAAAGTAGCAATTCCAATATTAACTCTTACAAAGGAATTATCTCTTGTAATATATGTGGTAGTCTTTGATTTAGTTTCTTATTTTTACTTGTTATACAAAAGACATGCAAGTTAAGATTTTTGTAGAAAGTATATTTACTTTAGGACCAAGACCTCAAGAAATGAACTAGTATGTACAGCCAGCTAGTCACACTATGAAAAAATTAGATACTTTTTAAATGTTTTTATTGATTTTTTTAGAGAGAGAGGAAAGGAGAGACAGAAACACCGATGTGAGAGAGAAACATCAATCGGAATTGATTGATGCCTCCTGCACGCCCTCCACTGGGGATTGAACCTGCAACACAGGCATATGCCCTGACTGAGAATTGAACTGGGATCTCCCAGGCCATGGGACAATGCTCAATCCACTGAGCCACACTGGCTGGGCAAAAGTCAGATATTTTTTTAAATTAATGTTGATTATATTATTTCAGTGAAGAAACAGAAATTCTCATACATTGTTAGGAGTAAAAATTCTATAAACTTTTTCTTGAGAAAAATCTGGTAATAATAGATTAGTTAAGAATGTACATAACACCTTTATAACCTTTGACCAGCAATGCTGTTTTTAGGAATTTAATTATTTACTTAAAATAAGCACCTCAGATATATGCAAAGATGTTCACTATATAACAACAACAAAAGCAAGCAACCTAAATCCCCACCAATTAGGGATTAAGGACTGGTTAAATAAATAATATATAACTGTTAAAAATACTTTGGCATATCTATATGTATCACCACAGAAAAATGTAATATCAATTTTTTTAAGTTACAGAAAGCATGCACAGTATAATCCAATTTATGGTTGAAACATTATGCATATACCTACATATAGATATATAGAGAATTATATTTTTATTATGTATGTATATATGTATTATAAGTTTATAAGGACCAACCAAACTATAACAGTGACTATATTACCTGTGTACCTGGCATACTTTCACTTTCTACAATAAGCATTTCCAAAAGTTTTGTTTTAAACAAATCATGTATTATCTTTAAAAATAATTAAACATGCCCTGGCCAGTTTGGCTCAGCGGTTAGAGCATCCGCCTGCGGTCCGGAGAGACCCGGGTTCGGTTCCTGCTAAGGGCATGTACCTCGGTTGCAGTATGTCCCTGGCCCTGGTTGGTCGTGCGGGTGGCAGCCACTCGATGTGTCCCTTTCACATCGATGTTTCCCTCTCTCTTCCTCTCTCTCCTTCCCACTCTGTCTGTACAAAGGATGGAAAAATGTCCTCGGGTGAGGAAAAAAAACAATAAAACAAAAAAGAATAAAAATAATTAAACATAATATACTTCTATTTTTAAATTATGACAATATAGACATGTTTCAAATCAATCACCCTATTTATTACTAGTCAACTAAAAATCATCAAATACTAAAAAGTGCATTTTAAGACAACAAAATTATATGCCACAAAGTAATTACATTAGTAAATAATTCCTCACCAATAATAGTCTAAAAAAAGAACTGACACAAATTTGGCCTGTCAGTACAGAATGTCAATACAGAATGTCCCTTAGTTAAACACACCACAAAAATAAAACAGCACTGATTTGCCATGGTGGTGCTAGCCTTTTACCTGTTGGACTTTGATTCTTGAATCAACATGTGTATCTGAACTCTGGTCCTAACTGAATCTATTCTGGCACAAATTCTAACAAAAAATGGATCAAAAAAAGGTGTGTGGGGGGCTATTTCTAATGATCGACATACAAATATAATAAAATTATAAAGCCTCTGGAAAAAGACTGCCACTCAGTGACAGCCAGTGTCCCAAACTGAATATCCGAGAATTAATTCTACTTTTATTTTTATGTGGGTAAAAAGCACAGAAAAACTAATTAGGCCTAATAAAGTTATCACTATGGTGTAACCCTGTTAATGATGTAAGAGACCAAATCCTACAATGCAGTCCCTTTGAAAGTGGACAGCTAATTTACCTGCTCTCATATTCTCTTCCCCAAAGTACTACCTAGATGCTGGCTTTTCTACACCATTTTTCTGATACCAGAAATAAAAGTTTTCCAGAAAAGTCAAATCAGAAAAACACTATAAAATAAGTCTCTTTGAAAGAGCATAAGCTGAAAAAGTGGCAAAATATCCACAGAAAAAAGCAAATCTACAAGATAGGACTACGTGATGTTTCAGGTGTTTTACAACCCCATGAATCTGTATTATCCTATTTCCTTGAGGTTGACAATAATTACAGATCATTCCTATGTTAACTGCTGTAACTTGCCAGAGGTGGGAAGGGTATTGCTAAAGAAATTACAATTAGTACAAAATGAAACTCTTGCATCAGTGTCAAATCTATGCAAGTCTATTGGCATGTAGGGATCAGAATTTAAGTCACTGACTCTCTGTGTTGGAAGGGGATCATAGAGGTCTTTAATCCAATCCTTATCCAATGAATGAATCTCTTATTGCAACACCTCCAGTAACAAATGGCTGTCCAATCTATGTTTGAATACCTCACTACTTCCTGAAGCAACACAATCCTCCATTGTTTTCTTCAGATAGTTCTAATTGACACTTTTCCCCTTAAATTAGGGCAATTTTTATCCTTAGACTCTAGTTCTACCAACCTGTCAGGGTCCAAGGCAGACCGCCCCAAGATATCTCGCAATGGCATATTGATTATTCTGAGTTCAAGTTACTTAGGAAACTGCCAGTGAAAGAACACTCTGACCTGTCTGTGCCTAAAAGCAGAAGATAAATCTCCCATGTGAAAGGTACCCTCCCCTCCCTGCACCCAGTGGCCAAGAATTCCCTTATTATAATTAAAGGACCCAGAGTCAAAGAATCTGTGTAAACAAACCTTGTCCCCTCTCTTCTAATTTACTATCCAAGCCCCAATTTTGTTTAGATTCCTTATTAATGAGTACCCCAAATCTTGCTTACATTCCTTTCTAATGAGCACTTTTTTTCCCCTTTGTCTTGTCAATTTTTTCACAAATATATTTTTTCTTTGTCTAAAAACTATAAAAGATCCCTGGGCTTGATCATTTCTTTGAACCTCATTTTATGATCTGAACATCATATTATGACCTCCCATGTGCATATATTAAATTTTTTTTCTCCTGTTAATCTAATCTTATATTAATTTTATTAGTAGTACAGCCATTAAGAACTTAAGAAGGGTCTGAGAGTGGGAAAGGTAATTCTCCCCTTTCCCCAACACACCACAAATAAGTCTCCCACATAGCATAGCAGTGGTCTACACCTAGTTTCCATGTCTACCTCCTTATCCCTTCTTTCCTATCCCTTCACCTTTCTCCAAGCTAACCACCCACAGTTCCTTCAACCTTCCCATGACAATTTCAAGCTGTGTCAACATCGAGGATGTTCTATTCTTGACCTGCTTTAAGTTTTCAATGTTCTCTTTAGAATGTGATGCAAACTACATACAATTTTCCCTACATACTTTGAATAATAAAAGTAGGTCTATCATCTCAATTTTTCTGGAAATTATATGATACCTAAATATCCTGGCCTGCTGAAGAAGCGGCAACCCTTCAATTATGACAACAAATCAACACATCAGACTTTTACAGACTTACTTTCTGATCTGACCAATTTTAGAGAATACAGAATCTGTTTAATGTGGTAGTTTTCTTTTCTCTTGTTATAACAACAATTATAGCAACAGGTTATCAAGGACTTACTTTGTATTAGACAAATGCTTTTTACCTGTATGTTATTTCATTAGACTGAAAATAATCCAACAAAGTCAAGTCTCTATATTACTATTTTTTTATTTTTTTTTGGTATGTGCCCCTAGCAGGAACTGAACCTGGGACTCTCTGGTCCGCAGACCGATGCTCCAATGCTGAGCCAAACCGGCCAGGGCTCTTTATAACTCTTTTTACAGATAGAACTGAAACACAGACAAAGCATATCATTTAATGTGGATTGACATAATGCATGTGCCAAAAGGTATATTTGACTCATAGATGAACAGTTACTGATAATAAACACTTATAAACCTGTGTTTAATCCCAGCTCTGCCATTAAGCAACTATTCGATCATAGGTAATTTATTTGCAGGCATACCTCATTCTATTGTGCTTTGCTTTACTGTGGTTCACATATGCTACATTATTTTACAAACTGAAGGCAAGACCTTCCACCAGCAAAAAGATTATGACTTGCTTTATTGTGTTATTTGCTTTACTGTGGTGGTCTGAAACCAAACATACAATATCTCTGAGATAGGCCTGTAAATTCTCTGAGTCTCAGTTCTCTAGTCTGCAAAATGGGATATTAAATGCCCATTATTAGCATTAAATGAGCCCTGGCCAGTTTGGATCAGTGGTTAGAGCGTTGGCCTGCGGTCCGGAGAGACCCGGGTTCAGTTCCTGCTAAGGGCATATACCTCGGTTGCAGTTTGTCCCTGGCCCTGGTGGGGTTGTACGGGTGGCAGCCACTTGATGTGTCCCTTTCACGTCGATGTTTCTCTCTCTCTCTCCCTCCCACTTTATCTGAACAAAAAATGGAAAAATGTCCTCGGGTGAGGATAAAAAAAAAAAAAAAATATATATATATATATATATATATATATTAAATGAGATAACACAACCAAACCCCTTGCCATTGTAGCTGACAAAGTAGACAATCAACAAATGCAAGTTAAAATTCTTTCCCCCCACAGAAATTGGGTTTTTCTTCATGGATTTGGTTTCAATAATCCCTATGTCAAATGGGGGTAAAAAGGGTAACTGAACATTACCCAAATGTAAATGAAGGACAAAACAAACCAAAACGTGAGTTCTGAAATTGCCAACATCTCAGATGGATCACTGACCACATGACAGGATATCTGAGTTTGGCATACTCTATATAACAAGGTACATGTCTCCTACTCAATATGGTAAATGGCTTTCTGGTTGCCAAATGGATAGCAGGTCACTTTGAGGTAGATAATCTATTTCTTCAAGAACCAAACTAAGCTAGAGGTTCTTCACATTGGGTACAATATTCTCTCTTTACTACTAGAAGTTTGACCTAGCTGGGAGGTAAAGAGACTTACGGCTATTTCTGGGAGATGAGGGAAGATCAAGAGGGCTGGAAAGAGAATAATGGGAGGGAAAAGAATGAGCAAATGAAAGAATGAAAATAAATAAGTCAAGACCTTTTAATAATGAAAAACTGGAATTGGAAAAGGACAATGTTTTTTCCTACATTAAATAGGCCTTCGCACCTCTCACTGCAATGTACTTTTGGAAATGGATAAAAACTAAAATTTCGCCCTGGCCCATTTTGCTCAGTGGTTGGAACGTCGGCCCTCAGACCAAAGAGTCACAGGTTTGATTCCAGTCAAAGACACATACCTCAGTGATGGTTCAGTCCCCAACCATGCAGGAGGCAATTAATCAATGTGTCTCTCTCACACTGGTTTCTCTCTCTCTCTCCCCACTCTAACTGAACATAAATGGAAAAACACCCTCAGGTTAGGATTTTAAAAAAACAAAAAACCTAAAATTTCCCACTTTAACCAGTGTGTTTTTTTAAAAACATACATTTTTCCTACTTCATCCCAGAGAGCATAATTCTATCAGTCTCATGCCTGGTTATGTTCTAGAAACTGTCACTACACTTAACCCAATTTAAGAGAAGGAACTGCCGATAAATTAGGATTCACACAGGGAGAAAGAAAATGTCAGTTCTTTAAATACTTCAAATATGCTGAAAACAAAATTGATATGAACAAAATAATTTGTAAGGAATATGCTGATTCCTAAACTAAAGAAATGCTTTCACTGACAATTCTTCTTCATTAAATGTTTAAACATTGTATCTCTTAAATTAAATTTCTATTTTACAGTTTTTCTTAGTGCAAAATTTCTGATTAAACACTTAAAAAATTCTCCTTAAGAATTATACTAGCCCTGGCCAGTGTGGCTCAGTTGGTTGGAACATTGTCCCGTATACCAGGAGGTGGCAGGTTGGATTCCCAGTCAGGGCACATACCCAGGTTACAAGAGGAGGCCAACTGATGCTTCTCTCTCATCTCTCTCTCCCTCCTTCTCCTTCTCCCTCTCCCTACCTCTTTAAAAAAAAAATCAATAAAAAAAAAAAAAGCATCAGATCCCAGCAGTTTAAAAACATAACTACCTGGGAATAACATATTTAAAGAAAAAGAATTATATAAAAATGCTGATAATGCTTTTATTTGAATGGTGAGATTTGTAATTACTAAATTTTTTTCCTGAGTTTCCCACAGTAAATACATATTACTTTAAAATCAGAAAAAAATTAATTCTTAAGTTTATAAATTTCCCAATAAGCCTAAAAGTCTTAAATTTCCGAATTTCTATAAAATAAGTCCAGATATTAAAAATGAATTAGACATGCTATTGACTTACACTTTATTGGTAGGCCCTAAGCAATGTCTTTAAGAAATTCAACATTGTATTACTGTTGAAATGCAAGAATTCAGTTTGTTATATCATAAATGGAAGACCCCTTTTATGAACCCACAGGAGATTCTGTTCTCAAAACTCTGCCTGGAAAAAGCTAAACAAACACCCATCGAGTTCTCATTATTATCCTACGGGTAAAATTAATTATTCTACTGGTGGTTTTCTACTTTGGTTTGGTTATTAGGTAGAACAATGACAAATCTGTGGTCTACTTTGGCAATTATGCAGGACTTTATAGTAAACATTTTTCTGTATTAATTTTACCTGTAGCTTTATTTTGGTATTCTATCTTATTTTTCCATTTTTCTGATGTCATCTTTAAAAAAATCTTATTGTATATATTTTTGCAAATTGTTGTGAATACTTGTTGCAGGGAAAAAAATAATAAATCTGGTTTGATCCAATCTTGTGAAAACCACAAGATTTATTAAAAAACAAACTAGTAGTGTCCTGGCCGGTTTGGCTCAGTGGTAGAGCATCAGCCCGTGGACCAAAGAATCATGGGTTCAATTTGGGACAAAAGCATGTACCTCAATTGTATTTCAGTCCCTGGCCCTGGTTGGGGTCGTGCGGGAGGCAACCAATCGATGTGTCTCTCTCACGTGGATGTTTCGCTTGCTCTCCCCCTCTCTCCCACTCTATCTGAAGATAAAATAGGAAAAAAGTATTCTTGAATGAGGATTTAAAAATAGTAGCAACCATTTTCTTTCCATGCACAAATCACACACTTCATTTGATCAATCAAAGTCATCAAATGGCTCAGTTGGTGTGGCTCAGTGGCTGAGCATCGACCTATGCACCAAGAGGTCGCCTGTTTGATTCCCAGTCAGGGCACATGCCCAGGTTGTGGGCCAAATCCCCAAAGAGGGGCATGCCGGAGGCGGCCAATCAATGTTCTCTCTCATCAATATTTCTTTCTCCATTTTTTTTTTTTGTTCAGGTAGAGTGGGAGGGAGAGAGAGGAACAGAGAGAGAGAGAAACATCGACGTGAAAGGGACACATCGAGTGGCTGCCACCTGCACGACTGACCGGAGCCGGGGACAAACTGCAACCGAGGTACATGCCCTTAGCGGGAACCGAACCCGGGTCTCTCAGGACCGCAGGCCGACGCTCTAACCGCTGAGCCAAACCGGCCAGGGCCCTCATCAATATTTCTTTCTTTCTTCCTTTTTTTTTTTTTTATCCTCACCCGAAGACATTTTTTGCATTTATCTTCAGATAGAGCAGAAGGGAGAGAGGGAGGAAAAGAGAGAGAGAAACATCGATGTGAGAGAGACACATTGACTGGCTGCCACCCACACAACTCCAACCAGGGCCAGGGACAAACTGCAACCAAGGTACATGCCCTTAGTGGGAATCGAACCCAAGGCTCTCTGGTCCGCAGGCCGATCCTCTAACCGCTGAACCAAATCGGCCAGGGCTCTCATCAATATTTCTCTCTCTCTCTTCCTCTCCCTTCCTCTCTCTCTCTAAAATCAATAAAAAAAAAAAAAAAATCACCAAATGACAGATAACTCAGTCCCATGCAATATAAGCAACATTTCTTAAATCTGAATCCACCTCCTCTAATCTTGTTCCAATCCAATCCCATCCCTCCATTGCACCTCCTTCATATTACATAATGTAAAACTGAAATATGTATCCATTTTATTCATAGAAAAAAATGTTTATGCTCTTCCATACTTAAAACAAGAAACTTTTAAAATTTCTAAATTGGGGAAGAAATCATACACATTTGGTCTTTTTTCTATGATTTTTCACATAGTACAAAATAAAAAAAATAATTTATATCAGAGAAGGTCATAATTCATGGGAAACCCAAATTGCAAATAACTTGAATCTATATATTTTTATTAAATAAAGAGATACTTAATACTTACTGTTTATAGAATCTTCCAATTTCTTTGAGGATGAATGTCCTGAAAAGGAAAGAGTATTGTTTTGTTAAGAATCATTCTGCCATAGTGTAACAGTGGTAGCTGTAACCAGGGTTCTTCCCAGTAGTCTTTACTTAGTCTTACAGAAAAGCACTTCACGGTCTTCTAATCGCTCATGTTTCTTAGACTTATCTCCCTAATTAAAATGTTAGGTTCTTTGCAGGGATAGTTTATGCCTTCTTTTGGACTGGAATACCTACCACAAAGCTTAAAAAATAATGAGCACCTGTAAAAAAAATCTCACATTACTAAAAAAAAAAATATCTATCTATCTATCTATCTATCTATCTATCTATCTATCTATCTATCTCAACCCATAGATTAACTACCATAGAACCAATACTTTATCTATACAGACGTTCAACATCTGAAACCTGTTTACAAATAAATACTCATTTTCACAATACTTTTTCAAGAAGATCATATACAGGTGAGAATTAGTTCCCAGTAACTGAAAAACACACATAAAATTATGTCATAAAACTAAAAAATTCAGTTCTACAATGGTTATCCAGTGAGTTCTTCTAAAGGAGAAGTGCAGGGTGCTACTAAAATGTGAAACAGGGACCTGACCTTGCCAGGAAGAGTGGGGTGAAGGGTGTCAGGAAATTCCTTTCCAAGGAACTGAGCTTGGGGATGGGGTGGTGGTGGGAGGAGTAAGATCCTGAAGTTTCTGTCAAGACAATCTACTTAAGTACCTTGTTCTGCTCATACCTGCCAAAGCAGACTGGTCCTTAAAGTCAAGCTATTGATGTGTCTTTCTTACACTTCCTCTCCATTCATTCAGCCATGTAGCCAGCCAATTATCCATCCATCCATCCACACATCCACTTATTTAACATTTTATGTGACAGTAACCTGAAGCTATAGGGAAAGATGGGATCACACAGTAAGAACAGAGAGAGAGAAGGGATGTTCTATAATAGCCTGAGCAACTCCAACATCTAAGGATAAGACTGAGTAGGAACTGTAGACAAAAAAGGTAAGGAGAGGCCAGAAAGATAGAAAGAAAATTTAAAAAGTAGATTGTTTTTTGTTTTGTTTCATTTTAACTGATTTTTTAGAGAGGAAGGAAGGGAGAGAGAGAGAGACAGAAACATCAATGTGAGAAACATCAATCGGCTGCCTCCTGCATGGCCCCAACTTGGCATCAAGCGGGTAACCCAGGCACGTGCTCTGATGGGGAATCAAACCAGGACCTCTCAGCCCATAGGGCGACACTAAATCCACTGAACCACACTGGCCAGGCTGAAAGTAGACTGTTTTCAGAAGGAGTGTCAACAGTTCAAATGTAGCTGAGATATTAAACATTTATTTACTATTCAAGTTTGGGCAAAATTAAGGTGGTCTGGCAAAAAAGCAACACATCAAGATCAATCTAGTTCTAGATGGTTTCAAATAAGAAGATACTAAAGAGTTCCACACAGTTTTCCAAAAATGCTGTCATTTTCTATTTGATACCATCCATATAAGTTGAAAAAAAGACCTCTATCCTATACTTTCTGCTATCAAAGATGCTCAGAATAAAGAATAAGATGTTTCAATTTCACTCTATTTTGGTTTTTTATCCCCGAAGACGCCGAAAACCATCTCCAAAGTCTTTTATTTTACATTCTTTATTATTTATGCCTAACATGTGCTAATGGGTGCTGGGGATGTATCAATGAACATAGCAGACAGAAATCCCTGCCCTCTTTGGGCTTTGATCTAATTGTCATACACAATGTAATGAAGAAAAAGTTCCAGGGTTGTGATATCATTATAAACGGGAGTTCTAATTTAGATCCATGGTCAGGGATGGAGTCAGGAAAGGATCCCTGAGAAAGTGACCTGAAGGATGAGTTAGGATGGGACTAGGGGTTTTAGGAAGAGAGGAAATAGTATATCTATGTAGTCCCTAAATGAAAAGAAGTTTGGAATTTCCAGAAACTGAGAGGCTCTATGGCCAAAGTATGAAAGTGAGGTAGAGAATAGTGAGAAACAAGTCTTGTATACCAGATTATATAGAGCCTTTGGGCTTTGTCCAGGATTCTGGTTGTTATTCTAAGAACAACAGGATATCACTGCTTTATGGCAAACAGAATAAGGGGAGGGAAGGTGAGAAGTCAAGACAGTCAAGGAACCAATAAGGAGAATACAGCGGTAGCCTAGATGAGAAAATACGTTGGTTTAAACTGGAGTGGAGAGAACTTGAGAAATATATACCCTGGGGGTAAAACCGTTAGAATCTGGTGACAAGTTAAACATAAATAATGAGGGGGGAAAAAAGGCACCAAGGATAATGCCCAAATTTCTAATATTACTACTTAGGTTAACAGAGGTGTCTGATATCTAGTACTGAAATATGGAACACTGAAGAAAAATATTTATAAGGAAGATCATGCCTTAGGGGTCCAACCCATCCCTTATTCCAAGTGTCCAGCTACCTTATTATCTGTTTTGAAGGTACTAAATAAATTTTTACAAGGAATCGGTTTTACTTTAATTTGGAATATGCAGTGATTAACATGTTATCATTCCATGATATGAGTTCAACAGTATTATATAATACAATAATAAATGCAACAAAATTTTCAAATTTTTACTAGCACACAAGGGTAAATAAAATATTTTTAAAACTCAAATGAAGCCCTGGACGGTTTGGCTCAGCGGTTAGAGCATTGGCCTGCGGTCCTGAGAGACCGGGTTCGGTTCCACTAAAGGCGCGTACCTCGGTTGCAGTTTGTCCCCGACCCTGGTTGGTCGTGTAGGTGGCAGCCACTCAATGTGTCCCTTTCACGTCAATGTTTCTCTCTTTCTCTCTCTTCCTCTCCCTCCCTCCCACTCTATCTGAACAAAAAATGGAAAAATGTCCTTGGGTGAGGGGAAAAAAAAACTCAAATGAGATTTTCACATTTATTAATTAAAATTTATTTTGGAGTGAATGATTAAGATAGAAACAAAATGGCATTCTGGTTTGAATACCATTTCTCAATAAATAATAGAATAATAGTATTTTCTTCTTACCATCTATCAATTTTACCAAGTCTAAAACTTGGTGATACTCTATGCTTAATATACTGTGATATGCAAGAAGGAAAAAATTGCATGCTAAGAATGTAACCTAGCTAAAGATCTTCACAGCTGGAGCAAGGGGGCCCTCTCCTGTCCAAACATTATATTAACATTGTACTGAATCTAATTCAATCTACCATTACCTACCTAATTTAAGTCCGATTCACTCTAAGTTATAACTAATCTGACTCTAATTAGGGATTGAAAAAGTAACTAGCAGTAACCTTCGTAATAGTTAATTATGGGTAAGTACTAAGCAAACTGCTTACTACATATATTATCTCATTTCAACTTATGAACAATTCTATGAGCTGGGTCCTATTATCAAGACCATTTCACACATGAAGAAATGAAGGCTTAGAAAGCATAAGGATTTCTGAGGAAGAAGTAGCTGATTAATGAATTTGAGTTCAAAATTATTTACTCAGTATATGTGCACAGCACCATGTGAGGTTCTGATGACACATTATCTCAATCTCTATCATTTCAAGAGGGTCATAAGCTAATGAGAAAATCACAGATCATGGTGTTTAATTTTATACTGACTTACAGATCATGTACTGTTTTAAAGTGTTCAGAGTGCCTTTCACATTCTTACTGGATTCTCCACAATAAGCTCAAGCGGTACAGAGGCCAGGTATTCACAACACTCCTACTTATGTAAGGAAAGTAAAACTCAAGAGTTTCGGTAACTTGCTCAAGGTAAGAAGTCTTTAAGTGACAAATTCAGGAAATAGAAGGCTGTTTGCAAAATATTATACTATATGCCAAAAATGAATCAAAACCAACCTTGTTCTTGAAACTCCGGTAAATTGATAGCTAAATAATCCAACCAGATTCCTTTCAACTACTATAAAACAGAATTCTAAATGTATTTACCAGTTAAATTCTACATTTGAAACATATGGAAGATTATACTTCATGTTCAGAAATGTGAGTAGATATTTACCTTTATCTTTTTTCTTAGAGGTCTCTTCTGCAGAAGATAATCTGGATTTTTTATATGATGACTCTTTACGATCCTTTTTGATTTTGTCCTTCTCTTTTTTGGGCTTTACTTCTTTTCTCCTTTATGTTGAACAACATAAAATTAAAATTAACTTTTTCAACTAACCTTTACAAAAATTAAAATCAATCAATAAAAAAATAAAATCAGTTAAAGTATTTATTTTTATAATGTAATTTACATAAGAAACCCTTGAATGAGGTTGCAAATATTTTAGGTTAGTATATTATTTAAGACCATTCTGTACGATAATAAAGCCTGAAAATTCTATGAAAAAAATGTATTTTTTATAAGTTCTGTATACAAACCTAGTAAACATAAATCACAGTTTTACTTATTTTATTTTTATATTCTATTATTTAGCCATTTAAAAGAAAATTACAAAACAAATCTCATTTTCTTCCAAATAATTCATATCTACCTACACTTTGAAAAACACATACAACAGAAAGAAACCATTGTGATAGTTCTACACCACCAATAAATAGAAAATCGGGGGGGGGGGGCATCTGTAATACTTTCAACAATAATAAATAAAATAAAAGAAGAATAAAAGAATATACAGGATGGGGCAAAAGTAGGCTTACAGTTATGAGATGGAAAATAATACAATTAATAAATAATAATACAAGAATAAACTCTTTTGGAAACCTACTTTTGCCACACCCTTCAGTAAACCTATTATAGAATAAGGGTGAAAGGACTTATTGTTAACTCATATGTCTGCTTTAGACCACTTATCCTTTCACTGCTGTAGCTTTATCTCTTCTAGGCCAGGTTTACAAGGCTGTCAGTAGCATGGCTGGCAAGCAATTGATTTCAATTGGTTAAGAAAAGAAATACTTAACAGGAAAAGGATGCTGAAACTCAGACAGGGAAAGGAAGATGAAGAGACAACAGAGAGGATTACGTTTAAGAAACTTATTGGACTTTCCAAAATTAAGGTTCTTATGCCAAATACTGTAATACTATTTAAGACAGTAACCAATTTTTACCTCTTTTATAATGTAATTATACATTAGAATCATTGAATCATTGAAAGTTTGAAATGAAACTTCAAAGTCAAGGTCAAATAAACATCTTTGATATTGTTCAGTATCATTGACACAGGGGAAAATAATGGTTTAGGCTATTCAAGTAATCGAGAAAGTCTGCTAATTTTAAAAATTAAAAAATATTATTTAATATTTATTTTTAATATTTAATAACTAAAATAATAGATAGGGCACATTTATAATATAGCTGATTTTAAAATTAATATACTAATTTAGATATTTTATAAAGTTGCAGACTCACTCTTAGACTTTCATTATTCAGAACATGAAACCTAACCACCACAATCCTGGCAGGTCACAAAGGTTTTGTCTGAACTACTTCAATGCCAGGGACTCTACTATGTTTTGACTTACCATATGCCAGGCACTGTGTCAAACACTTTACATGCACTTTCATTTAATCCCTACAATAACCTTAGTATCCTCATTGTTAGAGATAATAAAATTAAGTCTTACAGAGAGGTTAGGTAGCTTGTTCACAAAGATGACTAATAAGTGGAGTATCGGAGACACAGGGGTCTGATTTCAAAACCCATTGCAGAACACTGATACCCTTCCCCCACTCAATATGCAGACATTGTAGCTCATTCAATAGACTGATTTTAACATAGAGATGTATAATCCTTTGCTATGAATGACAAACTCCAATTAAAGCACTGTTTAAATAAGACATTAGAATCACATTATGGCCCTGGCTGGTTTTGCTCAGCGGTTAGAGCATTGGCCCACAGACCACAGAGTCACGGGTTCGATTCCAGTCAAGGGCACATACTACCTCAGTTGCAAGTTTGGTCCCCGACCTCTGGTCGGCGTCATGCAGGAGGCAACCACTCATGTGTCTCTCTCACATTGATGTTTCTCTTTCTTTCTCTCCCTCCCTCCGTCCCACTCTATCTGAAGATAAATGGAAAAAAAATATCCTTGGGTGAAGATTAAAAACAATAATAATAAAAAGAATCACATTATGAAGATCTGTTTTATAATACAGTTTCTAAAAATATTAAAGTATCTGAACACTGACTCCAAATTAAAAATTCTAGGATCTATCTACCACCCTGCGCAGGCCTTCACATTTAAAACTACTTGGCTAGAGTAAGGTATGGCAATCTTCCCGTTCCCTCATTTATGTGGTCATAAAGGAATGCTGGATAACCTATATAATCAACTAATTAAACCATCAACTACTCAAATCTACATTTAGACATCCAGTGCAGGTAAGTGACTATGACCAAGACTACTAAACATTAACTATAGCATTTTAAAAGATAATATTACCTGTGATGGAAATTTAATTTAAAGGAACATTCTTGGCATAATCCTAAAAAAAAAAAAAAAAAAGTCATACCACCGAATTTGAATAACTGCACTGCTACTCTACCTTTAGTATCATAAAGTCTCATTTTTCCTTATATTTTTACAAGAGGAAAACAATCTGAAAACAATCCAATTCTCTCCACCTCAAAAATGCATATATAATACATATATATAAAATAATAAAAATATTAGACTGCTTGAGGAATTGAAATTCTAACATTACTTTCTCAACCTTCCTAATGCTACAACCCTTTAATACAGTTCCTCATGTTGTGGTCACCCCCAACCATAAAATTATTTTCGTTGCTACTTCTTAACTATAATTTTGCTACTGTTATATCTTAGGCGACCCCTGTGAAAGGGTTGTTCGACCCCCCCAAGGGGTTGTGACCCACAGGTTGAGAACTGCTGCAGAAAAATGTGCTGTCGATTTACTCTAAAAGCAATAGGGAGCATTAATGTGTATCTCACATCAAAGATATCTAATAACAATAGTGTGGGTTATAGTCATTTCCTCTGAAGTGCTCTAACAGCTTCAAATGGAAAAGAGCTTTTTTTTTTTAAAGCAATTCAGTTTTATTATTTATTTATTTTTATCCCCACCCGAGGACATTTTTCCATTTTTTGTTCAGATAGAGTGGGAGGGAGAGAGAGAGAGAGAAACATTGACATGAAAGGGACACATCGAGTGGTTGCCTCCCGCATGACCCAACCAGGGCCGGGGACAAACTGCAACCGAGGTACGTGCCTTCAGCGGGAACCAAACCCGGGTCTCTCTGGACTGCAGGCCGACGCTTTAACCCCTGAGCCAAACCGGCCAGGGCTGGAAAAGAGCTTTTCAAAAAGTCCCACAATTGTGGCCTCTTTTGCCTCCATCTCAGTTCACACTAGCTGACTTCTCCTCATGGGCAAGCACTTCCAGGAGGAACTCAGAAATGTCTGTACTGGTGTTCATTAGCATACGGGGAAATTCATGACTTTTTTCTGGAGTAGACAGAACACTGAGGGCACATCTATTTAGGACCTAGAGAAGCTTGTTAATATGATGGAGAGAAGGTGACATAATACCAGCTTAGGAAAAATAAAAAAAATAGAATGACAGATTTTAAAACATGCATATTAAGAGAAACTACTATATTCTGGGGTATAACCGCAAGTTTTTAAGACACCAAGAACAATTACACCCTTCTAAGGCTGTCTTTACTGACAACCTTAGAGAGTGTGTTTAATCCCCACCACAATAATATGGCTATCAGCTAATGTGAGATTGTGCATTGCCTTTTCTGATACTATGCATCTCACTTTGCACTGGTGACGTTCTCAAGTTAATGAGAAGAGGACTTCACTTTACAAATGGCATTACATTTGACATTAGAACTGTTTCACCTAAATGCCAACATAATACTGAGAATATAAAAATTTTGGGCTCAAGCATTGTTTGGAACTTTGGGAAGCCCTGAGTAAAAGAGCATTTATAGGAAGATACATTAAAATTTTTAAAGTGAATCTTAAATTAGTCTATATATTTTTAAATCTAAATTAGATAAACTTTGAAGAAATCAATCATATCCCACTTAGATTCAACTTACTTAATTTAACAAGTGCATTTCTCTTTTCACCATGCTCAATATAACCAAAATTAACTTCCCAACTCTTTAAGTTGTCTTTTTCATCACAATATTTATTTCCACAGAAAAACTGGCCTGCAAAAAAGGAAGAAATTATTAGCTATAATAGGTGGTGACAAAGTTCTATATAATCTGATATTATGGTTGAAATTTACTATTAACATACATAACTTCTTAGTTCTATAAAGTCAGCATTAATAAATAAGTGACCACAATAATTATTACTCAACAAATGTATTTACAAGTATCAATTTAAAGAGCTGAATGAATTGTTTAAAAAAAATAAATCAGTCACAGCCCTGGCCAGCGTGGCTCAGTTGGTTGGAGTGTTGTCCTGTGCACCAGTAGGTGGCGGGTTCAATTCCTGGTCAGGGCACATACCCAGGTTGTGGGTTCAGTCCCTGGTCAGGGTGTGTGCTGGAGGCAACCAATCAATATCAGTCTCTCTCTCCGTCTCTCTCTCTCTCTTCCTGTCTCTGAAATGAACAAAAAAAAAAGTGGGCTTAAAAAAAAAAAATCAGTCACAGAATTTTTGCTCAATAGATAGATTGACTGTTTTTATTTCCATAGAGAGTTTTAGTGACTCCCTGTTAGGGAATTTTATACTTTGGAAAATGGTAATACTAAAAGAGAGTACTCACTAATACCCTAAAAGAATAAACATATTTTCCAAAGTACATGAATATACACTTGGGTATTCCCTTTTGAATAGTTAATAATAATATTAAAATTTATAAGTATTAACATAATGGCATTTACTTTAAGTATCAGCATAAAATGGCATTTAAAGCATATTTTAAAATGCTAGCCCTATGAGATAAAGTTGAATAAGTAATCAAACCCAATGTTCTAAATTTTAGAATCACTTGACACTAAAATCAATACATTGTACATTAAAAATTCTCCAAAAAAAGGAGTAACATTGATGATCCAAGAGGAAATTAAGACAAAAAACTCAAAAATTATTAACTTTGACAGAAAAAAATAAGATCAAACTTTTACTTGAACAAACAAAAAAAATTTGTATCTCAATAATTTGCATCAACAGGAACCTGAACTTTTCATAAAAATTATCAAAATGAATTTTGAAAATTATCAGTTAGTTCAAAAGGCCGATAATCTTTCTAAATTGGTATTTTTTACTTATTCCAAATGAATACTTTAAGTCTGTACATGTTCAGTAATGGCTCTATTGTTAAAACAGCAACAAAATTGTAACTTTATAAATCACAGCAAAAGGGTTCTCTCCCATTCCCAAGTAATCCTCTTTTCAGTTACATAAATTTAGAGAATGTCCATCAATTTTTTTAAAGGCAGCATTACTTACCATAATTTGAAATTTCCATTCAACAAAAATATAAATTTTAAAATTGTGATAGACATTCCAATATATCCCATTGTTTTAGGTGAAAACAAACTAAAAATGTAATCTTAAGAAAAGTTTTAAAAGGTTTAAATATATTATTTTTCCTTATCCTCTAAAGTAGATGTAAAGAGATGATATTTATTATCTAAAGAAAAAAATTCCTACTGTTTAATTGCATATCCAATTTCACATCTGATATAGACATTCATTTATAGAAGATGTATATGAATCACAGTAATGGCATAAATATTTAATCATTTAAAAATGTAACCTTTATTTTCAATTATAATTGTTTTGCTATTAATTTAAAATAATTTCCTAAATACTCCTTCTGTAATTTTCAGAGCATTAATATTAATTTTTATTGTGATTAAAAATGCAATTATTGCCTGGCCAGTGTGGCTCAGTGGATTGAGCATTGTCCCATGGACTAAGAGGTCCCAGTTCAATTCCTGGCCTTCCTTTCTCTAAAAAAATCAATAAAAAGATTTTTTATGCAATTATCGATAAAGAGAATTTTATAGTATGAGACAGTATAGAGCAGCGGTTTTCAACCTGTGGGTCACGACCCCTTTGGGGGTCGAACAACCCTTTTACAGGGGTTGCCTAAGACATAACAGTAGCAAAATTACAGTTATGAAGTAGCAACAAAAATAATTTTATGGTTGGGGGTGACCACATGAGGAACTGTATTAAAGGGTCATGGCATTAGGAAGGTTGAGAACTACTGGTATAGAGATACTAACTATTGAGAAAAATTTTATGAATAGATTACAACAATGCATAGAAAAAGCATTTCTTGACTGCCTACAAATGTCTGGTCTTTTGCTGTAAGAGTAAATATTTGGGCTCAATCTCAGTGACTCCTCAAAAGAAGAACTAAGAACTAGCCTGTTCAAAAATTCTATTAGGTTCAAAGTGACATTTAATATCTACTTTCATAATGTGAATTTGATCAGAATACAATAATACCAATTCATTATTCCAAAAATTGATAAAAAGAAAAACTCAAGCATTCATCCATTAATAGTTAACTTGCTATGAAATCTTGAAACATTTTCTACCTATCCTCAATTGGATGTTCTAAAAGCAAAAGTTCTAAACGTAAAAAATCTAAAGCATTATATTATTCTGACCTCTGCTAGTAATACATAATGAATATACCTTCTCTAATTTTACTTTTGTAGATAATCATTCACTGTATATATTAAGAATAAACTTACCCAATGACTTCAATTCAATAATGACAAAATAACCATATTCTATTAAAAAGTAAAATTTTATAAAGAAAAAAAATTACCTTTTCCTGAAATTACTTCTTTTTCTACTCTCCACCTAAATCCAAACTGACAAGAAAAAAATTTACATTTATGTCAAAATAAATTTAAATATTATTTAAATTGTGTATCAATCTAAACATGGAGCCAACAATTGATACAATGACATTTAGTAACCCAAAAATAAACCTAATTCCCATTATGATAGCTTTCTCTTCTTATAGAATTCCAGGTACTTAAAAATACATTTGAACAGTTACCAGCATCTCTGTTAAGGAACAATCTTCTTTACTTTTAAGTTATAGGTGCCAGGCCACAAGATATCTAAATTAATAATGGAGATATATATACAAATATCTCCTATGATACTGACAGAAAACAGAAAAGAGGTTACGGTACAGTAAAGAGGCAGAATACTACAGTGCAAGAATGTGCAGCCTTTGGAGTCAGACTGTTTGGGTTTACTTCTTGGCTCTACAACTTGACACCTATGTAATACTGGACATGTTATTTAATCTATTTGTTCCTGTTTCCTCACATGTAAAGTAGAAGTAATACAAGTACCAACTTTTTTAGTTAAGAGATTTAAATGGGATAATACATATAAAGTATTTAGAACGGTGCCTGGTACATACTATACCACCAATTAGCACACTATGGCCCACAGGCCTGCTGCCCTTTTTTACAAAGTTTTACTGAAACACAATACACTCATTCATTTATGTGTGGCTCTTTTCCCACTACAACAGCATAGTCATGAACAGGAAAGAATAATGGTGCCAGTCTGGAGCCCTAAAGCAGAACATTGTTCAACTTCCCTCCTGATTCCTAAACACAACTTTGTTTTTTGGCTAAAAATGATTTTTCTCAACTGCTTTTAAGATCTTTCACATTCAGCCTTGGCCGGTTTTACTCAGTGGTTAGAGCATCGGCCTGTGGACCAGAGAGTCCCGGGTTTGGTTTCCGTTAAGGGCATATACCTCGGTTGCAGTTTGTCCCCTGCCCCAGTTGAAGTCATGTGGGTGGCAACCAGTTGATGTGTCTCTCTCACATCAATGTTCCCCACCCCCTCCTGCTCTCTGAAGATAAATGCAAAAAATGTCCTCGAGTGAGGATTAAGAAAAAATAAAAAGATCTTTCATATTCATCTCCTAATTTACCATAATTCTAGTTAATGGTGTAGTTTTCTATTCAGTTTACTTTTATAATTGTTAAAAGCTTAGCTGCAGAATCATGCAGACCCAAAGCAAGCTCTACCACTTGTTAACTAGCTCTGTGACCTTGGGAAAATTACTTAACTTCTCAGTCTGTTTCCTTATTATAAGAATCCTAATCTCATAGGTTGTTGTATTAAGAGAGATAATTCAGATAAATTGTTCTCTGCCTGGTTAACTTTGTTATTTTTATTTTTTTAAATCACCTATTATTTGAATTAAATAATTTTATATATTTTTTTTCTTTATGATTTTAGAGAGACAGGAAGGGAGAGGTAGAGAGAGATAGAAACAATGATGAGAGAGAACATTGACTGGCTACCTCCTGCAGGCCCCCCATTGGGGATTTGGCCCACAACCTGAGCATGTGCCCTGACTGGGAATCAAACTGGCAACCTCCTTGGTGCATGAGTTGATGTTCAACCACTGGCCAGGTAACAATTTTGTATTTTAAATGCAAATAAGGGCACAAAATATTTCAAAATATTCTGGTTAAAACCCAAAGGAAATAATATTTTCCTAGTTTAGGAGAAAAGAAATAAAAAATTCAAAATAACTGTTTATTTTTAAACCTATACATGTATGTGAGGATTACTTTCCATCCAACATGTCAGGATGTCTACTGAAGCATAGACAGATGTTTAACATTATAGTTCCAAACTTTTTTTTTCATTCATTAATCTATTTAACAAATAATTATTAAGCAACTACTTACTGAGCTTAGCAGTCTGCTGAAGTGATTAAAATAGTGTCTGAAACTATGAAGGTTATAATCTTTCAGAGAGACAAGAAATGTCACAAACAACTAATATTTCCTATTAAAGATTACATAGAAGTTTTGCCTCAGTATGTTTATATATTCTTTCCTGAAGATATAAATTCTCCTGCTGAGATATTGGATTAAACACTGGAGTTACTCAGGGCTTGGTGCTGGGCCTCTTCTTCTCACCATACCTTCTGGCACAAAGAGCTCACGCATGCAGCAAGAGAGAGGGTCCTCACTTCCTGGCAATACATGCCATCTACTTGGACTTTTATGTAAAGAAAAATGAACTTCTAGTTCATTTACACTAATGTTCTTTGGGAGTGCTTGCTGTTCTCTGCAGCTGAATCTAATCCTAACGGGTGCAATGACCCAACCAATTTCTCAATGATGAAAGGAAAGAAGGAAATGGAGGTGTGCGACAAAGGTTGGAATTCACTAAAAACACCCTAAATATCTACAATATATAGTAGATACTGAGCTAGGAGTTGGTTAATTAAAAAATGAATAAAACACTGTCCTTGGGTAAATCAAACTGAGAAAATGCATTCTAGTAAGGAAATCAAAGGTACTTCTCTGTCTCCAACACTTCAAAAATGGTATGCCAAAAAAAGTCATCATTTTTCCCCTCAAAAAAGAATACCCCTCAAATGTGTGAGGCAAGGGATGATGGGAAATCTTTTATCTTCCCCTTAATTTTGCTGTTAACTTAAAACTGCTCTAAAAAGAATAGTTTTACTTTTTTTAAGATACCCCTCCCTTCATATTTCCCATTTCTCTAGTATTCACATTCAAAACATACAAGTCATATCTGATCTCTTACTTGCACTAACCCTCGTATCTGACTATTCATCATGTTCTAATAGCAAAATATAATTTGCTTTAAGATTATCCTCTTTGAAGTATGATTTCCAGTAATACACTGTTTTTTTCAATGGAGAATACAAATATTTAATTATTTATTATGTACACATTCTCCCCTTAACTAGAATATATGTTCGTGTTTTTTAAGGGCAGACACCACGTTTTAATCCACAACATCGAGCCTAGACCTCAATAAACACTGAAAAACAATCAACAGATGAGTCACAGTTGAAAAAGCTGTTTCATTATGTGCTCTTAGAAAGACCTATATTTCACATTCGACTTGCAGTGTAGTAACTTCAAGTTACTACAACTGCTGTGGTGTTTTTTGGATTCGAAATGGTAGTAGCTAGAACAGAGATGAGAGCTAGTTCAGAAAAAACTGAGAAAGTCTTTGGGATATACCAAGTGCATGGGTTTGTAAACAGGGTTATAAAAATGGACACTACTATTATCTATAAAAACATTGTGAAGCAACCCACATATTAAAGGCACTACTGAAAAATTAAACCAACTATGGTTCTGAGATTTAACTAGCATATGAAAACAAAATCCTTATGAGAAATATTTAAGATACCTTTTAAAAAAAATTTTTTTTTCCTTTATTGATTTTAGAGAGAGAGCAAGTGAGAGGGAGTGAGAGACAGAAATATCGAAGAGCGAGACCGTCGATTGGCCACCTCCTGCATGCCCCCAAATGGGGATCCAGCCCACAACCTGGGCATGTGCCCTGACCAGGAATCGAACTGGCGACCTCTTGGTGCATGGGTCAATGCTCAACCACTGAGCCACACTGGCTGGGCTAAGATACCTTTTAAATAGGTTGTCTTTCTTAATATAAATGTACATTATTATACAAACATACAGATCTATGCAACATTCCCTCTTGTCCTATTTCAAACTGAGATCATAAGTTCTTGGGTCACCTTCTCTACTACAAATTTGAGACAGGAATAAAAATCCCTTTAATATTAACTAAAGTAAGATGTAAAATGGGAATGGAAATCTGCCATTACTAATTAGCACTGGTAAGCGTTAATTTTACTAGAATAGACGTTTTTATAACAAAAGATGTGCATCTGCCTCTCTATGTATGTTAATCAATTTGGAAAAAATAGTTTATCAATTTCATCTGTGAAATAAGACATCATTCTGCAGTGTCAAATCATTCATTATAATCACTAGAGGCTCTAGATTAGAGTCAAGATGAAACAGGATCCAGTAGCCACTTGTGTTTAATTTTAGACTGTTTTTGCCTCAGCTCACAAAGAAGAACCCTTGACTAAGGGGTCTTTTGTAAATTCCACAGCTGTAGAGGTTAAAAGATCCAAACATTACTTCACAGATACAGGGCAATTTAGACTAGAATAGCATCTTTCAAAGAATAATGTGGGGCATGACAGTATTATAAAGAGTAACACTGTACTTGTATAAGTACTTGTATAAGTACCTTCTTTTATAAATATTTAGAAGGCATACCTTATTTTCTTTGTATCTACTGAGATCTGCTATGCAGTATTCCTTGAATAATTTATCATAGTATTTCTTTGCAAGTCTCTTCTCCCTAAATTCATAAAAAATATATAAATCTTCATTTAGAAATTCAATCATAGTCTGCAACTTGGAAGCTACGTCAAATAAATAATGCATGTGATACAAATATTAATGTTTTAAAAGAGGTCTATTACTTATATGTGCATAGAATATCTGAATATTAACTATTATAGTTGTTCTCTCAGGGAGGGAGTTTAGAAGACTGACCGACATGAGAGAGAGCCTTATACTTCACTTTTTAGCCTTTGTAATGCTGGGAATTTGAGAACTATTTTCAGGTATTACTTTTTCCCCAAAGTATTTTAAAACTGTAAAAAGAAACATATTACAGGACAACAAACAATATTTTCAAATGTTTTTTAAACTATGTTTTTACTGACTGTTTTAGAGAGGAAAGGAGGGAGAGATAGAAACATCAACATGAGAGAGAAACATCGATCAGCTGCCTCCTGCATGCTCCACCACCCCACCCCTGGGGATTGAGCCCACAACCCTAGCATGTTCCACGACTGGGAATCAAATTGGGACCTCTCAGTCCATGGGATGACGCTCAATCTACTGAGCCACACTGGTCAAGATCAAATGCTTTTTAAAGACAAAGTTAAGCAATGAGAAGTCAGTTAAAACTGTTCAAAATTACCAAAAGAACCAAACTAGATTCAGTAATCTGAGGCATGGTTTTATGTCGATTCAGAACTGTTTTATCCAGAGATAAGACAAAAGCATTTTATGCATCCAATAGCTAAAATTACCAATTCATGTCCACTTCGTCGTCCTCATTCCACAGGAATCTATGATTTTCTCGTATAACATCCATGTCTGTCTTGTCATTTTCCCTAGAAAATAAAACTATTTCAATTCAATATAAACAAAGAATTAGTCCAATTTAGGAGGTTAAACAGTTCTATGAGATTTTTGAACACCTGCATAAAAAATATAATACACACAGACAGTTTTATGTATATGAATATATGTACGCATATATATTTGTAAAAACTATTTCAGTACTTTTCAAAAGGTGCTATAAAAAGTGCTAATATACAAACAACTTAAATGGATAAGAAATCCATCCATCTCTGACACTGGTTTCAATTACACACATGGTGCTAAATAACCAAAGCTAGGATGAGAAATCTGAGTAAATATTAAATGGATAAGGAAATGCATATGAAAGTAACTTTCAGAATCTAAAAGATGTCAATATAAAAAATAAAATAATAAAAAAAAAGACATCAATAACACTCACTACCCTACTGAGATCTAATTTTAAAAAATATATGAAGAGTTTTCTGTACCTCATTTTACTACAGCTTCCTAGGAAGACTGAGTAAGAGAGTTGAAGGGTATAATTTTTCCAGATGCTAATTAACAGTTTGAGAATAGACCAAGGGATTGTTAGAAAGTACAGGCCAAATTGAGAAGGGAGATAAGTTTAGGATAGATGAGATGGTATAAAGTTTTTTAGGGGTCTCCTAATTCAGAAAATTGTTAAGTCAGAGGGAAAACCCACACAAAACCAAGGGGATCTGAAGAGAAGGGCCTCAAATATTCTGTTATTGCTGGGACAGATCTGGCTCAGCAGGCTACTCTGTTGCCAGAGAAAGGGGGTTCATGAGAAGCTACTTAGTGAGAAGCTATGGATGGCCTCTCCACCTTATGATAACAAGGAAATCAGAATGGAAAGCAGAGGAAAATTATAGAACTAGAAGACACAGAAGCTGTGGGTCTCTAAAAGATCTCCACAGCTCTCTCCAATTCTATATAAACTTCATGACACTTACCCCAATCGTCTGAAATCTTCTCTTTTGCCACCATAGTATAAAATATAGTCATTTACAAACTTTGCATGCCTTTGATACTGAAATGCAAAAAATTAAGGATTTTATTTGTTTAAGAGTTGTTCTATGTCCGTGATATATTTAGTGAGTAGAAATAAAGAGCGTAGTATGAGTCTATTTAATTTTTTAAATATGTAGACATATACTATACATGCTTATAAATTCAAAGATACATCTCTATCTGGGGAGAAAGAGAGTTTCCTTTTCTATTGCTAAACTACACAAAGCCTCACACCACCACTCATTTTAATCATCACGATATGAAAAATTATAGTTTCTAAAATAAAAGGTAAGGAGTAATAATTTCATTATTATAAAATATAATCTAGCTATTCCAGTAATAAAGCCTTTAAAAATATAAGATGCAATTTTTATAATATTAAATCCTAACACTAGGCTTTCAAAAAAAGTATTTTTTATACTTTTTTTTAATATTCAAAGAATCCACAGTCACATTTATTTTCAGGACAATATAACAAGATATGTGATGTTGAAACTTTTTCTTTGGAGCCCTGGCCAGTGTATCTCAGTGGTTAGAACATCAGCCCAAGCACCAAAAGGTCTCAGGTTTGATTTTGGGTCAAGGGTACGTACCTGGGTTGCAGGTTTTCTGACACAGCTTGGGGCGCATGAGGGAGGCAACCAATGTATCTCTCTCACATCTATGTTTCTTCCCCCCCCCCCCCGCTCTCCCCCCCCCCCGCCTCCCTTCCACTCTCTAGAAAAATCAATGGAAAGGATTTTTGGGTAAGGATTAACAAAAAAAGAAAAAAAACTGTTTTCTTTTGTAAAGCTTAATGGTACTCTCTCTAGGAGAGAATGTATATATACCAGAACTGACCTCATCTATAATAGTCTATGACTACATCCTATTATATTAAAGACAGTGATTTAAATGATCACAATGTGTTCTAATAGAGTATCAAACAAGAGAATACTTCCAAAACTAGAAACACAACAGTTAACATTTCAGAAAAGATAAAAAGAGAATAGCCAAATATCTGGAGATATGGGTTCTAGCTCTTGGTCTGTCACTAACTGACCATGTGATCATAGCAAGTTACTGAAATCCTTTAGAGCTGGGGTCGGCAAACTTTTTCTGAAAACAGTAAATATGCAGGCCACATGGTTCCTGCTGCAACTGCTCAGCTCTGCCATTTTAGTATGAAAGCAGGCACAGATAACACCTAAATAATGGTTCTAAAAAATCTATTTCCAAAAAAAGTGGTGGGTGGAACTTTGCTTCCAAGAAGATGGAGTAGACAAAGATGTACTTCTCCATATTCTTCTCACTAGGAACAGCTAAATCCCTTGGAAATTATATATTTAAACACACATACACACACACATGAAGCCCTGGCCAGTGTGGCTCAGATGATTGGGTGCCATCCCATGCACAGAAAAGTTGCTGGTTCAATTCCAGGTCAGGGTACATGCCTGGGCCACAGGGAACGTGTAGGAGGCAGCCAATGGATGTTTTGCTCTCATATCGATATTTCTCTCTCTCTCTCTCTCTCTTCATCTCACTAAAAGTCAATTAAAAAAATTTTTAAAAATTTTATTTATTTATTTATTTATTTTTAACTTTTTTTTGCATTTATTTTCAGATAGAGTGGGGGAGAGAGAGAGAGAGAAACATTGACATGAGAGAGACACATCGAGTGGCTGCCACCCACACAACCCCAAGCAGGGCTGGGGACAAACTGCAATCAAGGTACATGCCCTTAGCAGGAACCGAACCTGGGCCTCTCTGGTCTGCAGGACGACTCTCTAACCACTGAGCCAAACCAGCCAGGGCTCGATTTAAAAATTGTTAAAAAAAACAAACAAACAGGATGGAGAGAAGGCATATCAGCTAGGGACCTCAGGACCTATGGGATAGCACAGTGGTGAATTACCCTTTTTTGGCTTTTAAATCCCAGTTTTGGAGGTGAAGAAAGCCGACAACCTGGAAATGCCAACTAGCACAGACAAAAAAACAAACAAACCCAAAAGCCTTCTCTAACTGAATAACCGAGAGAGAGGCAATCTAACAAGACAGATAACTTTTAGACAGTAACTATTCCACTTCAGCCAAACACTCCAAAAATACTCTGTCCCACCTCTACCCATGCCAGGAAAGGGGACTCAGACTTTCACCCTCACCAGGCTTTAAGAAGATTCCCCAACATACCCCAAATGAAGTGTCAGAGAAGGCAGAGTAGACACTGAAATGCTAAAGGAATGCAAGGTAGATATAAGCTAATAGGTTAGGAGATAAGAATAAATTAATTGTTGACAAGAAACCTTCTATAACTTAAAAGTATAAGAAATGATAACAAAATGAAACTGATTACTACAGGTGGGAGGAAGTATATCTAATCGACATTGTCTCCTTTTAATCCTGGCTATAGTAATACACGCCTAGAAATACTTCAGGTCTTGCTTGGCCTCTTTTTCACTCTCCAATATTCAGTAATGTGGAAGGCCAATGGTAGTAGTCAATGTAGTGAGTCACAGTCTTTCCAAAAAGTTGAGCTGAGACATGGCATAACAGCAAGGTATAAAGAGAGTCCCATCTCATGCCTGAGAGTTAAAGCCACCGAAGACCTTAGAATAATCCACAGAGAGATCTACTTTTAAATGCAAGTTTAACAAAGACCTTAACTAGCCAAGAATCAGGTAAGAAGAGAATAAGAGTTAAAATGAAACAGAAGATAAGCATAGTATAAAAATGAGAAATGTTGAGAGTTTGGCAAAAACAGGTTGGAAAAATATCTGCAATTCATGGAATTTATAAACCTATTTATAGAACATTAGGAATATGTTTTATTATTTTTGTCTCTAAATCTTTTTTATGTATTAAAAGAGAACTGTACTCAAAATATAAATGGCAAAATTCCAAATCAATAAGGATTTATCTTTAAAAATAAAATATCAATCTGACTTTATAAGATTTTATAAAATTAAAAAGATTTTAAAATATTCTATTAGTTATAAAAACCTAGAAATATTAAAAGGATACAGCATCCATAGCTATGAGATGAAACCTTCTATTTCTTGCTTCTTCCCTGTTAAGACAAATTTTATTTTAAGCACATTCCAATGTCTATATTCTCATTAATATATTCAAATTCCCAAGTCCCTGAGTTTATAAAAACATCTTAAAAAAAAAAAAAGTAATTTACATTTAAATACCATACCTATCCAGCAATTCTGCTGCAACCTGTTTATGGACCACCTTTCCATGCTTTTCTTTCTGAAATGGTTTTTGGAGCAGTACATCATCTTCAACGGTCCTGGTTTAGTAAGAAAAAAGAATATTAAAAGAGTTTATTTTTCTTAAAGTGTTTTCTGTTTCTTTATATTTTCACAATTGGAACATGTTTTAAAGAATTTAAGTCTTAACTTAAAAAGATACACTGATTTTTTTTTTCCTCAAAATTTTTTTATTTTTATTTTTATTTATTTTTATCCTCACCTGAGGACATTTTTCCATTTTTTGTTCAGATAGAGTGGAGAGGGAGAGAGAGAGAGAGAAACATCAACATGAAAGAGACACATCGAGTGGTTGCCACCCACACAACCCAACCAGGGCCAGGGACAAACTACAACAGAGGTACGTGCCCTTAGCGGGAACCAAACCCGGGTCTCTCTGGACCGCAGGCTGACGCTCTACCACTGAGCCAAACTGGCCAGGGCTTTTTTTCTCAATTTTTATTAATTTATTTTTGTTACAGATGTTTCTCCTTTTCCCCCCCTAGACATCCTCCTCCCCATCCCACGCCCCCCACCCCCCTAGCATTTTTGTCTATGTCCACTGGTTATACATACATGCCTATAAGTTCTTTGGTTTATCTCATCCATCCCCCCCCACCCCTCTCCTCTGGGGTTTGTCAGTCTGAACTGTACTCCTTTCTATGTCTCTGGGTCTATTCTATTTATCAGCTTATTTTGCTCATTATATTCCACAAATAAGTGAGATCATTATGTTATTTGTCTTTTTCTGATTGGCTTATTTCCCTTAGCATAATACTCTCAAGGTCCCTCCACGTCATCTCAAAGGATAAGACATCTCTCTTTCTTACAGCTGCACAGTATTGCATCGTGTATATGTACCACAGCTTTTTTATCCACTCATCTATTGATGGACACCTGGACTGTTTCCAGATCTTAGCGATTGTAAACAGTGCTGCCATGAACATAGGAGTACATATATTCTTTCTGATTGGTGACATACTGATCTTTAATGAGACATTTTATGTCTCCTTAAATGGCTTAATTAGTATCTTTATTTTATACCTATAAAATGGAGAAAATGAAACTAACAAATGTGTAAGTTCTGATGTCTGATCACCTAAGTTCCTGGGTTCAAATTCTGACTGTCTGTCATTCATTATCTTAATCTTAAATAAAATTAAGTTACTTAAGTTCTTTGTGCCACAATTTTACTGTTTTAAAGGAGAGAGAGAGTTTTTGGTAACTGATAATATGAAAAAAAGAAGGGCTGATTATAGATAATATATAAACTATAGATGATTAGCCCTAGTTATGTAGATATATGCAACCCTGGAACAGAGAAGACTAACTAAATTTGCTCAAATTCTATTTTTACAAAGTCATATTTTTGAATAAAAAAATCTTAAAACTATAAAGCACCATAAAATGTAATTTGTTATAATAATTTCTATTCTTTTGGTTATCCGTAAAGATTTGAATACCCAGCAAAAATGTTCAGTCTCAATTAGTATGCCTAATATATTGTTCTCAGTGGAAAATAATAAACCAATTTTTATAAGTTTGATTAGTCAACCACTTCTAAGTTAATGGATAAAATCAAGTTTCTAAGCACTAAAACCTGAAAATCATGTCCCTAAAGACAGCAATTCCACCAAGATGTAGTTAGTTGAAAGGCCCAGGTTTTATCTGCTGACAGATCTTGTCCCTTCCAATTCAATAAAAACATCCATGAATTCCTTCCCTGGACCACTTAGTCTGCTCATTCACAAAACCATAAGAATTGTGCTGCATCACATTCCCATCCTCCACACTCACTTCACTTTGCAGTCAAGTACTAGAAAAGGGACCACCAACCAAACCCCAGCTTAGCTATGACGTCCACAACTGAAAAGTCCTTCTCCCCCTTCTACTTCCGCATTCCCTTCACAGCATAAACGTTTTATTTTTCATATAACTGTTCTCAAATTTTGAGTCAATTCATTATAGTTTAATGTACAAAAATTCATTCAGAACATCGTCTTCACCTACAAACACAATACAAAAACTTTCAATATTATTTATACCTCATCTCAATCTAGAAAGGATCCAAAGAACAGATCAATAAAAAATTACCTTTTTTTCCTTTTGCTAGATTCTCCACAGTGTTCATCATCACTGAAATCAGAGTCGTAGCCTCCATGACCATGCATCTGTAAAGTATAAAGTCAGTTACTTAGAACCTAAGATGCATACTGTTCAGGAAACAGAATAGTTAAATAAGTTATCTTTATTTTTTTTTATTCCTGATCTGAGGATATTTTTCCACTTATTATCAGATAGAATGGGAGGGACAGAGAGAGAGAGAGAGAAACATCGATGTAATAGAGACACATCGAATGGTTGCCTCCCGCACCAGCAGACCAGGGCCAGGGACGAACTGCAGCCAAGGTATGTGCCCTTGATGGGAATTGAACCCATTGAACCGGAAACAACTCATTGGTCCACAGGCCGACGCTCTAACCGCTGAGCCAAACTGGCCAGGGCAAAAAAAAAAAAAAAAAAAAGGCCCTGGCCGGTTTGGCTCAGCGGTTAGAGCGTCGGCCTGCGGTCCGGAGAGACCCAGGTTCGGTTCCCGCTAAGGGCACGTACTTCGGTTGCAGTTTGTCCCCGGCCCTGGTTGGTCGTGCGGGTGGCAGCCACTCGATGTGTCCCTTCACGTCGATGTTTCTCTCTCTCTCTCCCTTCCTCTCTCTCCCTTCCACTCTGTCTGTACAAAGAATGGAAAAATGTCCTTGGGTGAGGATAAAAAAAAAAAAAAAAAGTTATCTTTAAAGCCTCAATAGTTTTAAAGTATTGTGGTGGCTATATCACTGTCCCTGGGCTAGCCACACATCTAAAACTTTCATTCACTTTGAAATAACAGACTTACCCTTCAGAAAATTAATAAACATTTTTCACTGTTAGGCCAACAAGAGAGGCTAATCTTTGACCATTCCATTGAATATCAGGTCTAGAAGCTCTATGTGACTGTACACAAGGTTCATCAATGCTTCATTTTTATTTAACTTGTAGTAGTAACAGTTACTGTGTATTTATCAACTTCATTCCAAAGATTATACTAGGTACTTTACAAACAATGCTTCCAATTCTGCAAGTTAGGAACTATTATCTCCATTTCAGAGATGAAGAAATCAAGGACAAATGAAGCTAAGTAAATCAATTATACAGAGCAAATAGGTGGCTAAGCTGATCTACTTGATTCTTAAGCCCATGATTTCAATTACTCCAAATTGCCTCTCTGAATATGCTAACATTTTGATTATTATATTCCATTAGACTTAATGCATTTGTGAACAGTACATTATTTTTTCTTCCTTTCCTTAATCCTCACTGGAGGATATGTTTATTGGTTTTACAGAGAGGGAGAGAATGAGAAAGAATCATTGATGTGAAATAGAAACACTGACTGGTTGTCTTTTGCACTTGCCCCAACTGGGGATCAAACCCGCAACCCAGGGATGTGCCCTGTTGGAGAATAGAAACTGTGATCCCTTGGTTTATAGGACAACACTTCAACTGAGCCACACTGGCCAGGGCAACAGTACATTATTAATTGATGAAAATTTACCTTGTTTTCAACATTATATGGAGGTTTCTTTTAAACCTAGTTCTATGACCTTGTCAACCTTATTTTGTTTCATTTTTTTAATTGAAATTCTCAGAAACAATGAAAAATCTCAATTGTCACTAAGTTGTGTTGGAAACAACTCCTGGTTTCAGCATTATAATGAATTTGAGACACACGGGACGGGTTATTTGACTACTTGATGTCATTAATACTATATTCATATGGTTATAAGAAACCAGTCCAGGTTAAATGATACACCAAAATTTTTAAATTTCAATATTCACTATAGCAAGTAGAACAAGAAAAAGAGGAAAGAACTGCCCTGGCCAGTGTGGCTCATCCTGTGCACCGAAGGATAGAAGGTTTGATTCCTGGTCAGGGCATATACCCAGGCTATGGGTTCAATTCCCGGTCAGGCTGCATATGGGAGGCAACTGATTAATGTTTCTCTCTCACCTGGATGTTTCTCTCTCTCCCTCTCCTTTCCTCTCTTTCTAAAAAAATCATTATCCCTAACTGGTTTTGTTTAGCAGTTAGTGTTGGTCTGAGGACTGAAGGGTCACGGGCTCAATTCCCAGTCAGGACAAGTACCTGGGTTGCAGGTTTGATCCCTGGCCCCAGTCGGGGTCGTGCAGGAGGCAACCAATCAATGTGTCTCTCTCATATCGATGTTTTTCTCTCTCTCTCCCTCCCTCCCTTCCATTCTATCTAAAAACCAATGGAAAAATATCCTCAGGTGAGGATTAACCAAAAATTTTAAAAAATCAATTAAAAGAGAAAAACATATTCTTGTGTAAGGATTAAAAAAAGATGGGAGAACTCCCTAAATTTCATTGCACAGGACCCAAGACAAAAACGTATGTTTCTAGTCCTGGGTACCTTGAATAAATTACTTTTCCTATCTGTGGGCTTCATCTGCTAAATAATGTGGCGACATCAAATAATCCTTAAATCCTACAAGTCTGTTACAGCAGAACCTCAGTTCTCCAACTTAATTTGTTCCGGAAGGGTGTTTGAAAACGGAATCATTTTTTCCCATTAGAAACATGTAAATTGAATTAATCCATTAAGGATCCCCCAAAGCAAAAAATAATAATAATAATAAAAGCCACACTAAAATATTCACAGCACCATTTCCTGTGATGTTAACAACTCAAGGTTCAGGGGTAAACATTAGCTCCTTTGTTTCTCTCCTGAGACGAGTGACTGATCATACAGGATTCACCGTGAAAGGGCTGTCCGGTCAAGAACCGAGGTTCTGTTCAACTGAGACATTTTTCCGTGAACAACTTGGTCGAGAACTGAATTGTTCGCGATTGGAGATGTCCGAGAACCGAGGTGTGACCATCCTCTACCATTCCATTTTCGGGAGGCCGGTGAGTGCACCTCTTCCCTGTCCCACAGAATTCCGCAGAGGAAGGCCCTGGCCAAGGCTGCGGGTGAAGGTTGTAAAGCCACAGTGCCAACTCCACCCGCACCTACTTCTGCCCTCCCCTTACACCCAGCTGGATCTCACACCTGTCCCACCTGCCTATCACATCTGGCCAGGCCACACCGGCCTCTCACTCCTGTCCTCACACCCTGCTGGAGGGCAACCACCGGTGCTGCTTTCAGAGGGACGTTCTGGGGTCAGCCTGCCAGAATGCAAACCCTGTCTCTGCACGTTTCGTGTGTCTTTCTGAGCAGGTTCTACCACTTGTGAGCCTCAGTTTCCCCATCTACACAATGAGGCTCCTGAAGAGCACCAGTGTGCTAGAGCCGGTAACTGAATTACCACACAGACGGGGTTTGGAGCAGTGCCTGGTACAGCAGAACCCCGTACACGTTTCCTACCGGTACCATCGCCCCCTCGTTCCCGCCCCACGACACCCCCCCTCCCGTTTGCCCTCTCCTATTTCTTTCCCTGGCGGCGGCACCCACCCCACACCCACCTCAACCCAGTGGTTGTACTAAAACGCTCTCACTCACTTCGGGCTCCGAATACGCTGACAAGGGCCGAGAAAACCTCGAGAAAAGAGACTCCGGCTGTCTCCAGAATCTTCTTTTTTTTTTAATCAACTAGTAGCATATGAGGCGCAAGTTCGAGGTCCTCCGCGACGCCAAACACACTCACGATCATCTCACACACCCCTTCCTCGCCTCCCTGCTTTGCCAAGCTCTCCCGCAGAGTCGTCTTTCTCTGCTTTCTCGGCGACTGCAGCGACGACCCACGGCCTGAAAGAGCCGCTGCAGGGCCACCCCGGTCCGCCGAGGCCGCGCAGCTTGGCCACAGCCGCCGCCACCGCCTGCTCCCCGCCTCTCCCCTACGGGTACCGACAAGGCGCTGCTTCCGGTCCGGCTTGGCCGCGTGTCACGCTTAAATGGCGCCGTCCCCGGGAGTGCCGAACTTGTGCTACTGCCAGAACATTCCCGGGAAACAAAGGCGGCGGGAGAACAGGGCCGGAAGGGGAGGCAGAAGCTGCCTACTTTCTTGAAGTCACAACCCTCTCAGTTCTGTCCTGGGCCTCTTTCCCTTCCCTCTCGGGAGCCCCTCATCTAATACTGTGTGGCACTGTTCTCACTAAGTCCACACGCCTCATTTGAAAGTATGTGTTGTTTTAGGAAAAAACCCTGCCTAAATAGCATCTGCCGTCCTCTTTCTAGTAACCTTAGTAACGCCTCCTCAGCATCCTGGCGCAGCGTCTCAGCCTCTGATCTGCTTTTCTTCCTTCTCCTCTACTCCCACTCCCACCCCCGCCCCCGCGCCCAGTAAAACCGCTCTCATAATTAAAACAAAAATAACTTTCCTTCCTTTTACCACCCACACAATAGATACCATTCCAAATGCAGTGCTGGTGGCAGAGGAGCTCATAAAAATGGGAGGAAAGGAAGAATAGGGACTAGGGGAGATTTTACAGGGTTGCGGATGCTCTGCAGCCGAGCGACCTTGCGTGTGAAAGAGATCCAAAATAGTTCCTTTCAGATAAAGAAAAGGAAGGGGGAGGGGGGGGGGAGAGGGAATGAAAGGAGGAAGGGAAGGAGAAACGCTGGAAGGAAAAGAAATTATTTTAAGCTGCACCAGGTTCCCGCTGTGTTTTACCTTTTCTACATTATGATGCTTCATTCTGCTTTGTAGCCTAGTGACTGGAGTAATGATGTCTTCTCTCCCTCTGGCTGATGCTATTCATCTTTGTTTCCTCCTCAGTACCCAACACGGTTCCTTGGAAAACATAAGCACTAATTAAATATTTGTTTAATTGAACTGGCACACCACTGACTTTAGAGAAAACCTTGGCACTTAATACACACTCATCATTTTATCTTTTACACTACACAGTAGATAACAATATCCTTATTGGTTCAAGGCCCCCTTCTATCTTATCCTGCTTTACCCATTGCAGTCACTGTGATCTTAAAAATCTGTAAGTTACATTAGTGTAAATTTTAAAAATATATATTGTTATTTTACTTATTATCAATAAAATCAAACACACCTGTACCTTGTATTCAATTTACTTTCTACCAATATTTGACATTTAATAGCATTTTTCTCCAATTCTTAGTATATTTTTTGTCTGTTGCTTCACTTTATCTTACAACAAGCCTGTGCTGCTGTATTATTATCCCTATTTTGCATATGAGAAATAGAAGCACAGAACTTAAAGCCATAGACCTGGTGAGGGTCTAGAACAAGACCCAGTTTTCTCTCTATCTCTCTCTGGGTCTGTTTCAGTCTCTCTTTCTCTCTTTCTTTTTAACTCATCATGTGGGAAGTAGCTCCTGGTTCTAATATATTAAGAATTTCAAATCTGGCCCTGGCCAGTTTGGCTCAATGGTTTGAGAGTTGGCCCACGGACCAAAGAGTCGCAGGTTTGATTCTGGCCAAGGGCAGTACCTCAGTTGCAGTTCATCCCTGGCCCTGGTTGGGGTCATGCAGGAGGCAATCAATCAATGTGTCTCTCTCACATCCATTTCTCTTTCTCTCTCTCTCCCTCCCTCCCTTCCTCCTTTCCTCCCTCCCTCACAGTCTATCTGAAGATAAATGGGAAAATATCCTCAGGTAAGGATCGGAAAAAAAAAAGAATTTCAGATCTGTTGCTACCAGGCCATTCAGCCACAGATCTGCATTTTCTCTTTTGAGGCAGCAGCTATTGGAAGAAAGAAAATACAAAATGTGTGTTAGGAATAGATCACATGATCCGAACTAAAAACAATTACTACAGGATAGAAAACCTACTTGAGCCACGCTGGTGTGGCTCAGTGGTTGAGCGTCAACCCATGCACCAAGAGGTCACCAGTTCAATTCCCAGTCAGGGCACATGCCCAGGTTGTGGGCCCAAATCCCAGTGAGGGGCATGTAGGAGGCAGCCAATCGATGTTCTCTCTCATGGATGTTTCTATCTCTCTCTCTCCCTCTCCTCTCTCTCTCTAAAATCAATAAAGGAAAAAAAAAAATTTTTTTTTTTTAAAAACCTACTTGATCAGGAAACCTCAAGTTAGCAATTATAGTTCAACAACTATAAAAAACACAAATATTTATTAAGTGCCTCCTCTGGACAGAACAATATCCTTAGTAATAATCAGAGTTACAGATATATAAAAGCCACTCCTTACTCTTGAAAGTTGACTAATAAGAAAAAAATATATAGAATAATAATAATAATAATAATAATATATTCTATCATATGCCAAATGCCTAGTAAATGACATGAACCTGTAGTTTCCAATTAGTGAAATGTCTTATTTCAACTAATGTGAAATTTTAAATGTGCACCAAGCCTGTGTAACTCAAATAAAGCAACAAAATACTCTGATAGGTATATGGTGGAGTTGAGGGAAGTTGGTCCTCACTTCTCTCCATCACCCTCCCCACTACACATCTATATTGCCCCCCCCCCCCCAAAGCTACTCTAGGAAACAGTATAATAAAGAGACACACTTCAAAGTCAGCCAGACCTGCAATCAAGTCAGATTTCTGATACTTACTGGCGAGAAGATTTTGGGCAAGTTGTTTAATTCTCTGAGTTTTAATTTCCTTATCTATAAAATGGAGATAATAGTAGTAGTGTCTATGTAACTGGGGGATTGATGAGGATTCAAATGAAATGCTTAGCATGATGCTTAATTCATAATAAATATATAATAAATGCTACTTGAGGAAAGAATCAGATTATAGGCATTCTTTCTTGAGAATTAGTTTAACAATTAACTGCTTCTTGAATGTGGTTCAGAAATAGGTCCAATATATATAATCCCATGATTAATGGCATAGGTTTAAGTATGAACTTTTCAATAAATAGTTCTTAGTAGAACAATATGGTAAAAAAAAAAAAAAAAATCTTGATTCCTACTTCTCACCATACACAAAAGTTCATTAAAAAAAAAAATTTCATGCCCTGGCTAATTTGGCTCAGTGGTTAGAGTGTCAGCCCACAGATGAGAGAGACCCAGGTTTGGTTCCCGCTAAGGGCACATACCTCGATTGCAGTTTGTCCCCAGCCCTGGTTGGCAGCCACTAGATGTGTCTCGCTCGCATCAATGTTTCTCTCTTCCTTCCTCTCTCCTTCCCACTCTATCTGAAGATAAATGCAAAAATGTCCTCGGGTAAGGATAAAAAAAGAAAAAAAAAAATCATGATATTTTGTGATAGCTTCTTTATTTTTTTATATTTATTTTTTGCTTTATATCTTTAAAAAAAATTTTAACTTATCTTTATTGTTGAATGTATTACAGATGTTCCTCACTTTTCCCCCATTGACCCCCTCCTCCCCATTCCTGTCCCGCTCCTGCCTTTCTCCACACTGTTATCTATGTCTATTGGTTATGCATATATACATATAAGTTCTTTGGTTTTTCCTTCCCATCCCCCAACCCCCATTCCCTTTGAGGTCTGTCAGTCTAACAACCAATTTGAACTTCTTAATCCCTTCACCTTTTTCACCCATTCCCCTAACCCCCCTCCCATCTGGCAACCAAGAAAATTTCTCTGTATCTATGAAAATGTTTCTCTTCTGCTTGTTCATTTTGTTTGTAGATTCAATTGTTGACAGATATGTATTCTTGCCATTTTATTGTTCATATTTTTTATCTTTTTCTTCAAGAAGACCATTCATTTTTTTTTTTTTTTTTTTTTGGTACGTGCCCCTAGAGGGAATCGAACCTGGGACTCTCTGGTCCGCAGGCTGACACTCCAACCACTGAGCCAAACTGGCCAGAGCAACCCTTCAACTTTTTATATAAAAATGGTTTGGTGGTGGTGAACTCCTTTAGCTAGCTTTTCCTTGTCTGGGAAACTCTTTATATGGCCATCGATTCTAAATGACAGCTTTGCAGGATAGAGTAATCTTGGTTGTAGGTTCTTGCTTTTCATCACTCTGAATATTTCTTGCCACTCCCTTCTGGCCTGCAAAGTTTCTTTTGAGAACTCAGCTGACAGTCTTATGGGAACTCCCTTGTAGGTAAATAACTGCTTTTCTCTTGCTGCTTTTAAGATTCTCTCTTTGTCTTGAACCTTTTGCATTTTGATGATGATGTGTCTAGGTGTGGGCCTCTTGGGGTTCATCTTGTATGTCTGTATCCTTCACCAAGTTAGGGAAGTTTTCTGCCATTATTGTTTCAAATGGGTTTTCAATTTCTTGTTCTCTCTCTTCTCCTCTGGCACCCCCAAGATGCGAATGTTGGCACGCTTCAAGTTGTCCCAGAGGCTCCTTACACTATTCTCATTTTTTTGGATTCTTTTTTTTTTTTTTTTTTTTGCTGTTCTGATTGTGTGTTTTTTGCTTCCTTAGATTCCAAATCAATGGTTTGCTTCTTGGCTTTACCTACTCTAATAATGAATCTGTGTACATTATTCTTTATTTCAGTTAGTGCCTACTTAATTTCTGACTGGTCCTTTTTTATGCTCTCGAGGCCCTCACTAAGTCACTGAGTTTCTTACTAAGTCCATTGAGCATCCTTATAAGCAGTGTTTTGAACTCAGCATCTGTTAGGTTGCTTATCTCCATTTCACTTAGTTCTTTTCTTGGAGTTTTGTTCTATTCCTTCATTTGGGACCTGTTTCTTTGTCTCCTCATTTTGGCTGCCTCCCTGAGTTTGTTTCTATGTATTACTTAACGAGAGGTATGGGGCTATCTGAGACCAGATGCTGCTTGTTTGAAAGAATTTAGGAAAACCTGAAGCAGGATCCAAGACAGGCCAATCCTGTGGTTAAGCAACTGGCAACAGCTTGGGTGGACCT